CGCCTCACTTCCGAGGTGAAGCACAGAGGCGAACAAACAGGTTGGATGCCCACGTAACGTTGGAGTGGCCACGTTGAAGATGTGCCAGTGGCGCAAGTTCCGGCCGATCCGTGTTTTTCTCTCTCGTCGGATTTCGTTCCCTCATAATTGAGTCAGACAATGGCGACGGTTTTTCGTGCTAGCCATCCTTGCCAGGTTTTATAACGAAACAGTTGTCGCGTGGGGTGGGTCATGAGCCTACAAATGATAAAAGACGTTTGTTCTCAGAGTCCCCGTTGAGGAGGCGAGGCCATGCGACGGAGAACACCACCTCCCTCCGCCGATTCTCTACAGCAGTCAGTTTCAACAACGTTTCTTCCGACAGCTCTCGGCAGAACATCGGAACATGTCACGGCAGGAATCATGAATCTCCTTCTTCCCTGATCAGAAGTGAATTTCGACGGCTGCAGCTACTTGGACATGAATCGTCGGTGACCTTCATTTCTCGTTGGCGCCGTCGGCTGATTGACAAACGACGAAATTAATCCATTTCGTAAATGCAATTACTCAACTTGTTTGGTGAACTGGTTCGACCGCTTTTTTGGCGGTTCAGTGCATCGCCACGTCGACCGAGCTCTGAGCTACTGGCTGCCAACAGCCGTACCTGCGAAGACAAACTGCGGAGAAAAAAGCCGAACGTAAACCGTGACATTTTTGGCCAAGTTTACAAAGTTCGCAATACAGCGACTTGCACTTTTCAGCTTTTTCAAGTCACCAACGTACCCTGCAGCAAATCTTACATGCTGTTCATAAACTAAACATACTGAACTCGTCAATGTTGCGGAGTGAACACCAGTAAACAAAGCAATAACCATATACGGTGGAAAAACCGTAATATGACTTTTCCGTAAATTATTGATGGAGGCTGGAACGCGTTTTCTGAATTCGTAAAATGGTCGACTAATGAAAAAACAGTTCAAAAATAGAGACTGGCAGATCTCCTTGTTCCATGAGTACTAAAGTGTAGCTCCGGGATCACGTTCCGAGCAGAGAAGTTCGACAACGGACTGGATTAAAAGGCATGAAACAAAGAGGTGGTGGGCTCACCCTGTGGTTCGCATCAGTGACAGCCGGCAGACGTCAAGAATCGCAAGCTGGGCGTCGAAGCGATCGTCCAAGAACACGTTGTGGCGATCTGATGGTCAGCAGTTGGCCAGCTCCAGAAACCAGAGGACAGAGAATACTAGAGCAACGAAGACTAGGGTTAATGACATATCGTAAGTAGGACAAATCTGGGGGAAAACAGATCCATGATATCTTAATAATACAGTAGAACTAATTCTCTTCGCTTCCCTACATTGAAAAGTGAAGAACTCATCTTCAAATGAACACGTCTACGTGAAAGTCACAGCCTGCTATAAGATCTTTTAGAACGAAGAAGTTAAATAAAATTTCTGACCTGTCGCTGAGGCTACGAAAATCACCAAAGTTAGAGAGGCTGTTCTGCACCTATTTCTGTTCTTTTCGATTACACAGCTCGCGAAGTAGCGGTGCTGACGAACTGACAAGTTTTAATCTACTGGCTGGCTTTTTACGACAGAGTATCTAAACACCTGTTCCTTAGTTTCTCAGCCGTTCAACTTACTGCACGCACATGCAGCTTAGGTTCGCATAGGTTGCATGGTTAGAAACAGAGCAAGAAATATTATAATTAAATTGACGACAGTAGCAGCTAATTGTTGCACCGCATAGAAAAGTGAAACAAACTCAGTTATTAATTTTTTTGTAAACTTGCGTTTACACCTTGTGCTCATATTTAGCCTGCTCGAATTGAGGCAAAGTGAACGGTAGACGTACCGGCGGATCAGACAACACTGAATGCCTTTCATGATCTCGCGGGGTCACACCAGAACACCATGCTGTCCCCACTGTGTCCACGATACCGATTTAATTCCTATTTCTTAGCTGACTTCCCTGCAGCATGAATTGCTTGTCCATGAAATTAGAGCTGATGAGAAAAATTACGCCGCGCATGCGATCTGAACTTGGCACCTGCAAAGTTGAAAGAAAACTCTAATTCGTTGCACCGGATTACTTTTGATGCGGCCTTAATTGCTGAAGAACCTCTGCACCGGAGCACTCGTGTGCCATCATAAAAGTGAAAGTATTAGGTCAACTAGAAGATCCATCCTTACACTTAAAACATACGCTCTCAATCTTTTTTAAACCCATCAACAAAGCTACGATCGTACGGTACCTAGGATAAAAATGGCTCTTTATATCAGGAAAACGTTGAAAACGTTATATCCTGTTTCAGAAACTTAGATATCAGTGGAATACTGAAGAAAGCTCGATGTTAACATATACAGATTTATGTAAAAAGTAAGTGAAAAGGGTAGCTCCCTACGCCTGTGTGCAGATCTCTGACTAGAAAGCACCTTCGTCTAAACAGAATCTCATTCTACGAAACAGTGAGGTGTGTTGTCAGGTGTCAATTGATTGACTCATAAGAAGATCGTTTCCCTCACATGGTAAGCATTAGTGGATATTTTAGCCTCCGAAGAAAGCAAACCACCATATTTCACTGGAACACACTGACTATGCCTCATTTTGGACACCGTTCCGGTGCACAGACCACGACGTTTCTTCTGGAATATGATACAAATACAAATTAGTAAGAAATCATGACAGATTATTCGAGACAAGACTTCCCGTTTTAGAAGTAGAAGAAGCCACGGAAGAACGGGTAGAAAAGCATACTAAAATGTAGAGACGGGAGCTGAACAAAGAGACAAAAAACTGAAGGATATGAGGAATAGGAGGGAAAGTGGAAGAAAAATAGAATGAAAGTTAGACACTTAGAAGAACTACTAAAAAGAGGAAGAAGAAAGAAAAGTATAGATTGAAAATGAGAAAAGAAGGATGGCCAAAAAATAAAAAGGGAAACAAGCAAAAGAAGAAAGAAAATTAGAAAATGAAATGAAAAGATTAGGAGAATATGAAGTAAAACAAAAAATGGAGGAAGAAAAGCACGGGAGGAAGCAGAGAATCAGATAAAGAAGGATGAAGAAATAAAATTCAAGAAGGAAACGTAGAGAAAACAGAGGAAAAATCGTAGAAAACCAGAAATAAGGAAGAAAAATAGACAGAAAGGTGGTAAGTGAGAAGAAAAAGAAAAAGAAAAATGGAAATGAGAAAGAGAAAGCAAAAATGAAAAGGACAAAAATGCAAGAAAAGAACAAGAGGACAAATAGTGGAGGAAGAGATGACGGTAGAAGAGGAAGGAGAAAAGGTGAAAAGAAAGGGAAGAAGAGAATGAAATAAATAATGATGAAAAAAGAAATAGGATGAAACGAAATAAAAAGTTTAAGAAAAAAATGTAGACGAACCTGAGGGTAAAAACGTAGGAATAATAAAAATATGAACAAAGGCAAATGACAACAATGAAATTAGAAAGAGAAGTGCAGATCCACTCAGCAACGATGCCTCAACGTAAAAATAATATTTCTGCTGCATGAATACACATAATAAACCATCGTTGACGTTAATTATACGTCTTTTCTTTTTGCTAAGTATCTCCGCGTTAGGGTAAAAGGTAGGCGTGATTGAGATTCACTCTTGGATACATTCCATAGCGACTAAAGAAACGACTTTCAAGAATATAGCTGCATTGTCAACGCAAGGATGGGTCAAAAAGTTTGACATCTGAGAAGGTAAGAGGTCGAGATCGTCATCAGTTTTCAGTTAAGGCATATGTTTTGCATAACTGGTTTTAAGGAGCGAGAAAGCTGAAAGGACAAGAAAACTTTGCATACAGATTTTTGATGAACCTGTTAAAGCCAATATAGTTATACTTTAAAAACGCTCCTCACGTCAGCTTCCGTACCAACGTGAATGTTGCCCAACCTCGTCTGTCACATCACTACCTCGGCCAAATCTGAGTCTTCTTTTCCACTGACATGTACGGTTCAGTTAAAGACTAAGGGTGATTCTAGAACACGGACAGCTTCCAGGAGGACGCAACTCAAAAAGGCAGTGTAGCAAAAGAAATTTTACCATCATCTTCACAGTCGAGGTAAAACAGTATCGTGTTCGTTGAATGAAGGAGGAGCGGAGGACGGACATAATCCGCGAATTAGTTCGAACAACCCAACTTTCGTTCATTGATGCCAACAGTGAAAGGTGGGTCGACAGATGCTTCATTGACAACGCAATAGCTTCCCAACATTTTTTATTGATTTAATTTATTAAGTTTCCGTTGAACGCAACTTTTAGAGTACTTGATTATTTTTAATGGAATATTTCAGCCAATGACGTTTTATTTTAATCGTACCTGGTTATTTCCGCAGTTCTGACGAAACGAGCGGAGTTACGGCTACCAACGGGACACGGTAACCAAATGAGGTAAATTGATTGACGTAGAAGCGTTGCCTTGTCGTCAGTGGTCAGTGACAAGCGACGTTGACGATGAGAACGAGACTCACCCTCGAGCTTGTTACGTTCGTCTGTTTAGGCGAGAAAAAACCGAAGTGTGACGAGGGCAGGTGAAAAGAGACGGGCGAAGAGCGGCGACGGACCGATGCATTTGCTGCCTACTTACAGGCCTGCAGTACCGTCGTCGATCCGTCGACGTCTCCGTCGAACTCCACGCCCGCTACAACCTGTTGTCTGTCGGTCGCCCGAGGCTCTCCTGCATCTCGTTGCCCTGTTTGGAAGCGAAACGTTTTCGCTGATCGACGACGATTCAACCACCCGTAACTCGCGTCTAGCCTGACTTCCGAACTTCCTCGGTGTAGCCTCCAGCGCCGTCGTTAGAAGTCAAATCAAGCGCGACCGGCTGACGACAGTCTTCTAACGGATGCGTATGATGACTGATGTTTCACTCATTCATGAGTCCGTGTCAAAGGTTACTGTTTCGGATTGGAAGAAAAGGAAAAATAAGAAGCCACGAAAAAATGGCAGAGGATAAGGAGAGTCAGGAAAAGAAAAAAACGAAAAAGAGAAAGAAAAGGCAGAATGATAATAAAGGTGAAGAATGGGCCGTAAGACGAGGGTGAGGAAAAGAGAATGCAGACGAAGAGAAGCAAATAGAAGAAGAGAAATATGTGCGTGAGGTAAAAGAAAGGAAGGAGATTTGTGTGGAAGAAACGAAAAAGAGGAGGAGGGAAAAGTAACGGGTAGAAACTGCGTCGTTCATGCGAATTTGAATATTCAATTCATGACGCGAAGCTGATACTAATTCAGCGTAATGTAAAACTCTGTAAAACTGAGTGAGTGCAACACACAGAGATCGAGATTGCATTTAAGAGTCAGGAAGTGTGTTCCACAAAGAACAATACGATGAATGTGTGACGGTCGTGAGGGTTTGTCATTCAGCGTAGGAAATGTATTCAGTGGTACGAAAGAAGTGGCAGCATAACTCCATATCGACCTTGCCAACGTTCACCCTCTTCATAGCCAAGCCTTTGGTTCCAATGGCATAGAGCCGTACTATTTACCTTTCGTGACGAATCCCGGGCGGTGAAACTAACGAGATTCTGGCAGCTGGGGTTGATCCAACTATTTAAGCAATTTAAGATGTTTGTCTGGCAAAAGGATGCCGCAGTTGTTTGGCTGGAGCAATTGAGGGCATCCATTCATTTTAATCTACGTTAATTCGCTTATAGATTTAACGACATTTGTTATTTTCAAGTCAGGGTACGGAGTAATATGACGGCTGAAAAGGACCCATTTGTTATTCGGCGCTATTCATAATCAGTCTCTTTAACGTCGTTTTTGATGAACGTGAGATGGCTCTCGCTGACAACATTAAGCTAGACGTGTCCGATGCACCGCAAACATTCAAATATCATGAAACAGCGCCATGCTGAGACTACCCCCCCCCCACAAGCAAGTAGGAGCAAGAAT